TCAGAATTCTTCTATTATGGCGATGGCTTCATGGTCACGTGACTTGCAACGAACGATCAATGGCAGGCTCAGCTTCTTTTTAGGATGGGTTCTATTAGCGACAGTCACTGGAGTCTTACAAGACAATACTTGCACTTTTTTTAGGATTGGGTAAGTAGTTTGTGCTTTGCAGTCATAGTTACTTTACTATTCATTTATTAATTCTATATAAATTCTATCTAAATCCATCCTTACAATACATAGAAATAGTACTAAAATTTAGTCAGAGCCACTATTCTTACTCAAATTTTGGTCTATATGTAACAATATAAAATCTGTTTTTTAAAAACCCAGAATTCAGTTGAAGGATGGTATTGGAGATGAAAAACATTGGTAAAATGTACATATACAGAGGTTTTTAAAATAATTAAAGAAATTTAGAAGAAACAACCAATGTTGAAATCAGTATTAAGACAGTTTTAAGAAATGCTTCAAGACTGCAATAAAGAAAACATATTGTATAATATGAACAATGTATTTAAGTAGTATTTAATGATCATAACAATTGGTCTCTTATGGAATATCTTAGAGACATTATTTACAAAGTTTATTTTTAAAATCAGCAATTTATTATTTTTTTTAAAAAAAATTTTATTATATATATTTTTTTCAAATTTTATTTTATTTTATTTTTTTGTTTTAAATATATATATTAAATATTTTAAAATTTTGCATAAATAAAATACTTAAGTATTATTATTTGTTTGCTTTACTGCTATACTGGTTATTAAAAATAAAGATAACATAAATATATATTTTATAAGTGCACCTTTTCTAATAACATACTCTTATAACTATATAACAAATAATTACAAAAACATAAAATTTTAAGTACAAAACTATATGTAAATATACATAAGACAGCTATGTCAAAACACATAAAAGGTGCAAATTCTGTACAATAATACATGTACTAATGTGCACTTTTAAATGTTTTTCTGTATATTGTTTCATATAATAGCATTTATTTATTATATTTATATGTTTTAAAATTCTTTGTAATGATTAATTTCTTGTACAGTTTAGTGTAAAATTTTTTCAAGCTCTAATTGAAAATTTTATAATAAAGGTTCTTTAATATAAAAAAAATATTGACTAGATCTGACAACTTTCTTATATTACAATTAAACATAAAAATATTAAATTATAAGTTTATTTATGCAATATTTTAGACAATAAATAATATTACTTTTCATAAATAATTTGAGGCAAGGTTTTCTCAATATGTTTTTTATATAAATAAAATCAGAATTTGCTTTTCTTATCTTCATATAAATAATTCATTTTTATCTTTTACTCTTTTTTACTAATCTTAATTTTTTTTATATAAAATAAGTTAAGGTTTTTGCATCATGCTTGCATAATTAAAGTTTTCATATTTTCTTATAAAATGAGTCAAGGTTTTTAGATCATGCTTACATAATTAAAGTCAGCTAAGTTATACAGTTAATATGATTAAATAATTAAAAAAATTCTAAGTAGTCCCAATCTCTAGTACTAATTTGCAATTATACTTGAAATTGGTTAAATTTTAATTTAAATTTTTTATTAAAGAATTTCTCTTTTTTACAAATTACTATATAAATTCAGGATTGTCAAATAAAAATATAAAGATCTTGCTAATAAAATTAATCTAGATTCAAATTAATAAATAATTTTTAAAAGGCCAAGAATATTAAATTGCAATTGTTTAATACATTAATTTATTTATTATAAGAAAATTGTATAAAATCTAAGTTACAAAAGCTTTAAGTAAAAAAAATAATTTGAAATGTAAAGTAATTTTTGCAACACAGCCTTTTTAAATTTGTAAAAGAAATCAGACTTCAGGCTTTAAAATTTATTTACCAGTCAAAATATATTAGAGTTTATAGTAATTGAATTTGACAAGAAATAAATCTGTAATCCTAAAATCTTGTTTCTCTTAGTGATACTCAACATATAATCAAATCAAATAATCAAAAAAACCATAAAAGTATAAATTTTTGCTCATAAATATATATAACATTATAGTAATTAGATTAGTGCAGTGGGTGCAGCATATATAGATTTAAATTTGTACATATATTGGTACTTTCTATATATATATTACATGTATAAAATTTTTTCTTTGTGCAATTTTTTTTTTACATTTGTTCTAATAGAAATTTTTTGAATTTATAATACTAATTATAGCATTACTGCATTATAATATTATAACATTATGGCATTACAGAATATAGCAATATAACAAAACTTGGTTTAGTACTGTAATTATTTTTTTTCGAAAATTAATTCTCTGGCAACTATACTCATACCTTATATGACTCATTTCCAAATCTGATAAAAAAGGCTTAAAAAAAACAATTGTAGTTTTATCAGAGCACAAAATACATTAAAGTTTTGAAAAAACTAGTCTTCATAGTATCATAGGCAAGAAAAACATAATGATTTATGTATAATGATATGTAGCATAAATAATGATTAGAACCCATGCATCATTCATGCATTATCGATTCTCCAAAACAACAAATATGCATAATCAGGTTCTCTGATACTAAAAAACATAAGACAAGGCAGTTGTACCCAAATTAGAAAAGACATTACACTATGACAGAGATGTTTCAAAGAAACAAAATTCAAAATAATAGAAGATCAGATTAGTAAAACATATTAAAAATAAAGTAAAAACACAAATGCATAAAGTATAATACTTATCCAGTTTAAAAAAACCTGTGTTGGTAATATTGTAGTATGACAAAATAGTGAGAAAACTAGAAGTAAAACCTAAAACAGATAGCATTAGTTAGTAAAAACAAAAAGTATATAAAAACAAAAGCAGAAGTTAAATAAAAATACTTATCTTTAACACCTCTACGTAGTGAGAAAAAGATTGTAATCCTCGTAGTAATAGTGTATAGAGTAGAGACATAGTTCATACTTATTAAATACAAATTAGAGTACAAAATTCATAAATAAATAAAGTAATACTCATCCAAATCAAATCCATGCATCAAGCCTTATTTCATCATATTAATATTATTATGCAAGGTCATGTTTGTTGGAGCAACAGACTCACTATTTATCTGTTACAATAGACACAAGACTGAGAAAATGACTCAAAAAACAATTCAAGATTTTAAGTCTTCTTTGTACAATATACAGAATAGATTGATATTTTTAGTTTTTAGTTTTTTTTTTGTTAATATTTGAAAAAGGTGCGATCTTAAATGTCCAGATCTTTTTTTTTATTTTTTTTGCTCCTTTAAGATACCTGCCTTATGAAGCTCTTTTATTATCTTTTATGCAACAAACTTATCACAGTTAACTCAGAAAATTAGAACAGAATCCCTCAGATTATAGACTTTTATTCATTTATCAGCCAAGTCTTCTTACTAACAATAGTTTTTGTAAGGAAAAAAAGATGATCTTACTTTTTTTGTTAATTGCATCTGATCTATTGTACAAATGTGGCTTTTTCCTCTAATATTGTAACTTCTGCATGATCTAATAATTGAGATTAGAGTGAGAAATGGCCAGCCTATTTTTTACCCAAATTGAAATTTACCATATATGTGATATAAATTTTGTGCTGCATATACTTACCCAATTTTAATAATTAAGTATTCACAATAATATGACAGCTCACTGTAAATTAAGAATTTATGTATAATTATATTTAGGTATCACTTTTCTTATTTTCTTATAAATATTTCACTTTTATTTACTTTTTATTAATTCTAACTTTTTTCATAAAATAAATTAAGAATTTGTGTTATACTTGCATAATTAAGTTTAAGTATTACTTTTCTTTTTTTTTATAAATAATTCACTTTTATTTATTTATTTATTAATCCTAATTTACTTAAAATAAGTCAAAGATGTTTGTGTTGTACTTGTCTTATGCAATTAAGGTTAAGAATGACTTTTTTTATTTTACATAAGCAATATATCTATTTTTTTTTAATATATATATAAGTTTTCATACTATGCATTCATGTATAATTAAGTTAAATTAGTTGTTTTTTTTACTAATTAACAAAATAGGCCTATTAATTAATTGATTATTAGTGAATTAAATGCCGATTAATTAATTGTTAGTGAATTAAGTATAGGTAAATTAAGTGTAGTTGAATTAATTGTCAGTGAATTGATCGTCAATGAACTAAGCTGTCAGTGAACTAAACTTGTCAGTGAATTAATTGTTAGCAAATTTTACTGTTAGTGTAGTAAGCTTGTCAGTAAATTAAGCATGTTAGTAAATTGATTGTTGGTGCATTAAGTGTTAGTGAAATAAATATGTTGGTGAAATAAACATGTCATTGAATCTATTGTCAGTGATTTGAGTGTTAGTAAAATAAGCATAGTGGTGAATGGTTGTTGGTAAAGTGTTGTGTCTATGAAATGAGTGTCAGTGATAGTTAATAGACTTAACCTTTAAAAAATAATAACAATGTGGTTTTAAAAAAAATTAGATTTTATGTCTTTGAATTTATAGATTAAATTTTATAATAATATTTAATAAATAAATAAAAAATTTAAATTATTACTTATCAAATTTTAATAAAATTTAATTTATAATATATTAGATTATTGTTTATTTAGAATAGAATTATTTACAAAAAAGCCTTAAGCTTTTTATTTATTTATTTGAGACTTTTTATTATTAAATATTTTTTTGCTTAGTATAACCTTATTGTTTATTATAAGCCATAATATAATAATCCTTTTAGTTTGGATATAAGCCTTTTAAGCCTTTTTTTATATAAAAGTCTTATAAACAAGTTAAGATTTTAATACATAGAATAGATGTCAATTTTGTATAAATAGACATATTTTTTATCTTTTTAAAAAAATATTTCTGAATTGATTCTCATTAAGAATTAATAAAATCTTTAAAATCTTTACAATTCCTTTTTGTTTTAATATAATAAAAAATAAACTTTTATAAATTTAATTTTATTATTTAAAACTAATATTCAATGTCTGATATAATATCTGAAAATATATCTAAAAATATTTTTAAAAAAAATAAAAGAGGTCATAAAGAATCTTGTGTTTGGGATCATTTTAATAAAGAATCTATAGAAGGTGAACATTATTTAGCAAAATGTTCTTATTGTTTTAAAAAATAGACCAAAGGAAGACCTGATGAATTAAAATCTCATTTAGCATTATATTGTAATAATATATCATAGAATATTAAATTAGAATATTTAGAATTATTAGTTACTGATAATTCTAATAAAAAAATCAAAAAAAATAAAAGTAGTTCTAAAAAATTAATAACAAATTTTTATGAATCACCAACAAAAATTAAAAAAAGTAAAAAAAATAGAATTGATCAAGCATTAATTAGATTTTTTATATGTTGTGATATTCCATTTTCTACTATTAATCATCTATATTTTATAGATTTTATTCAATATCTTTGTCTTGGTTATATCCCTCCTGAAAGAAGAATACTTTTATTAACTATTTTAAATCAAGAAATTTCTTCTGTTTTAATTAAAATTAATAAGGAACTTGAATATAAAAATAATTTAACACTAGGTAATAATATATTTAAATTTATTATTTATAATTTTAATTAAATTAATATAATTTATAATTTATTAGTTATAGATGGATGGTGTAGTCCTTTAGGAAAATCTATTTATGCTTTTGTAATTATTACACCTAGCAGAAAACAATATATTCATGCTTTAGTTGATGAATCAAACAAATCTCATACAGCTTCTTTTAATGCTTCTGAAATTGAAAAAGTTTTAAATTTAATTGGTTTTAAAAAATTTGTAGCTATTGTTTCAGATGCAGAATCAGCTATGCAATTAGCAAAACAAATTATTTCTACTAAATATCCTTCTATATTACCTATTAGATGTATAGCTCATTATATTAATCTTATTACTTCATATATTATTAAATTAGATTTTGCTAAAGCTGTTTTTAAAAAATGTCAAATATTAATATCATTTTTTAAAAATTCTTATCATGCTGGTGTTACTCTTCAAGAAGATATTATTAATTCTTTTATAAAAGATGGAGGATTAAAAACTTCAGTAAAAACAAGGTGGTCTACTGCTTGGGATTGTTGTAATTCAATTATTAGATTAAAAAATAGTCTTAAAAATGTAAGTTAAATTTTATTTTTTTTATTGAATTTTTTAAAGTTTTAATAATTTTATATATTTTGTTAGGTTTTCAAAAATCAGTCTGAAATCTTTCAAGATGCTTTAAATATTAAAAATATTCTTCGAAATCAACAATTTTGGTAAGAATTAGAACAATTAGAAACAATCCTTATATCTTCTAAAAGAGCAATTCAAGTAGTTGAAAATAAATCAAGCAATATGGCATTATGTTTTTTAGAATTAGTTAAAATGATAATTGCAGTTAAAAATTTCTAATATAACAAATTATAATTTTAAAAAACAATATATCAAAATTTATAATAAGTATTGAAAACAATTTGATATTTTAACATATCTTCTTGTTTATTTTATACATCCTAAATATAGAGGTATGATTAATTATATTTTATTTTTAAATTTAAAAATATATAAATTTTTATAAATTTATAATTTATTAATATAATTTAATTTTATTTTAGATAGAGGATGTAAAAATAAAGTATTTTGTAAAATTTGTTTACATAGTATGAAAATTTGGAAAAATTTTGGTAAAAATACAAATAGTTGTAAAATTTTATTAATCCAATTTAGAAAATATTCCGAAAAAACTGAACCATATAATATGGAATATATTGAAAATCATGATACACCTGAAATTTGGTGGACAACTTGTAAACAATCAGATAATTATATACAAAAATTAGCATTAAAAATGTTTGTTATTGTTCCTTATCAAGCTGCTTGTGAAAGAGTATTTTCAGTTTTAAATTGGATGTTAGGAAATAAAAGAATAAGATATAAATAATATTTAATTTATAATATTAATTTTATTAATTTTATTAATTTATATTTAAAAATTTTTATAGATTAGA